ATGGGAAGGGATGAGAAGGGGAAACAAAGGAGGAGGCTACAATGCTTGATAAGAAATGTACTCATTACCTTGCCCATGTAATTGTAACCCCTCTGTACGGTATTTTCACAATAATAATAAAAAAAGAGTCTCCTGGACTTTCTTGCCTTGCCTTGTGAGTATGATATTTAGATCTCAGCCTCCTGAGTAGTTACAATTAGAGCACTAGCTACCAGTATCTGGCCTTGTTTGGTATTATTGAGAGGAGGAATTATTAGATAGGGTGACAGAATGACTATTGGGATAAATAGAAAGAGGAAAGTAAAAGAAAAATTGGGAGGGGGGTAGGAAACGTATAAAACATTTAATTTACCTTTCTTGGTCATTTTTTTTAGGTCTGACCTACTGTGCCTCTGAACTTTAGTTTTAAGTTCTCTCATATCCACTTTAAGGTGTAAGTTTCTTCTGTTATATGGAAACATTGATAGCTTAATCTTCTGCATCAAATGCTACCCACAGGCCAATCCTAAAATAGGTATGAGGTTTTGCATTGTAAAATATTAACATTTTATTTCTCAGGCAGTTTTTTAAACTGATATATTTATTTCATACCTTATCAATACATACTTTCAACAAATTCATAAGGGTTTCAGCTACAAACTTTAAAATCATTTGCCTGCTTCACTTTGGAATTTACATAGTTATTCCTGCCCTCATTAAAATTGTGAACCTTGCCAGGCCCAGTGGCACATGTCTTTAATCCCAGTCCTGAGGAGGATCTCCAGGGTAATCTGGATTAAATTGCAAGACTCTGTTTGAAAAAAACAGAGCAGAATGAAATTCTATGTTTGCAACCCCTGCATCAAAAGCAAACAAACTGAGGTGAAATAAACAAGAGGAAAAGAGATAGTTGGAGTTTCTTTTGGAAACGGATTATCTCGGCTGTAAAGCTGGGAACATTATTCTCTGGACAGGTGGCAAAAGGTGGCAAAGCGGATCCAACCAGGCCTGACGTCGTTTGTGAAGTGATTGACTCTTAATAAAATCCATGCTTGATGGTTGTACGTCATGCGATGTACTAGGAATACTGAAGTTACATAAAATGGGGGGGGGTGGTAGGGAGAGAAGGGCCCAGAGGGGAAATCTGTGCTTCCTGAGTGTTCTTCAGACAATCGGTGCTAGTGTGGTTGATCAGCAGGAACTCAGGAGGAGGCGTGATGACGAGTGAACAAAGACCAACGCAGACACCAGCCTCCCAGCTGCCCTTGGCATGTTGTTGCTAGGAGAGAGCCCAGTGCAGGCCCAGCTCCCCGGGGCATGGGCCAGCGGTGACACATCTGGCTGCCGTGGGCCTGCGTCACCTGGGCTTTGCTCTTCTGGGTAAACACGGCAAAGCGGAAGGCGGACGTCACCCATTTGCCAGCCTGTGTGTTTCAACCCCGTAAAGAAAATTGAACGAGCATGAAAAACGGTCATTCTGCTCTTCAAAAAAAGAAGAAAAACAAACCCCTCAAAACAAATGGGGGTGGGGTGGGGAGAAAGGAAGGTGAATAGACCCAGAGAAGGCCATTCAAAAACCCAGCCCTCAGTTTCATCTCTGCGTTTGATTGAACGATTCTGAAGGCCAAGTCTGTTCCGAATCCATTGTTTTGGTGGCAACATCAAAAATAGCCTTGGAGGAGCTGTGCGGTGGCCATGGAGATTAATCTTCCCTCAGGAGCTCAGCTGCTCCCGGCCTTCCCTCTCAAAGGAAGGCTCCTCTCCCTGCCTGGGGATTCCCACAGAATCAGGCCACCAAAGCGTGGAGGTTTTCTATACAGGCCGCCTCAAGGCCTCTTTGGCTGCTCATCTGTTTCTTTCAGTGTTCTAGAAAGCCTGGTCAGGCACTGCCACTGTACCTGCAGCTCAGAAGTGTGGGTTCAGATTCCAGAGCCAGTGATCATTTATCCACAAATGGACTGAAATGTATCTGAATGTTACTTATAGTACCCAGCTACATCCTCATCTCTGTGTTGGGCATGGCTAATATTCGTGTGTGTGTGTGTGTGCCGGTGTCGGGCTTCATGCTCTTCATTGGTTGTTTTGCTGAAGGCTGGTGCTTTACCACTTGAGCCATACTTCCACTTCTGGCTTTTTGCTGAGTCTCACAAAGTGATTCTCCGATCTTAGCCTCCTGAATAGCTAGGACTGAAGGCACAAACCACCAGCACGTAGAACTAAAATAGGTAGTATTTCAAGATTAGTAGAACATGCAGCTTGGGTTAGTAATCAAATACATACATTGCTTAATGTATACTTTCCCTCCTTTTGTTATTTAAGTAGTCGTACAAAGGAGTCACCATTTAAAAGAGTTTAGGAGGACAATATATCTTGATCAGGGTCACCCCTTTCAACATGCTCGCCCATCTTCCCCCACCCACTTCTTCCTTCGCTCTCCTTCATTTTGTAGGATATACATTGGATTCTCGTCTTCTCCTTAAGGTACATTTTCAAATAGGTTTTCAAAACAAGGGAACTGGACCTAGACTCAAATCACTCTGTGTGTGTGTGTGTGTGTGTGTGTGTGTGTGTGTGTGTGTATGTGTGTAGCAGTGAACAGTCTGAGAGCCCCGTGGCCCTGTGACTCTAGGACAGAAGGAAAAGAATGACCCATGGAGGCATGGCTGGACAGCAGAGAATTTCCTCTGTGTTATCTATGAAAAAACCCCAACCAGTTCTTTATGGGTTCTAAGCAGAGATGGTAGAGTGAGAATTGTGTTTAAAAAGATAAGTCTGGCGGCAGGAGGGATCGGGGCTGGGAAAAGGCCAGATGGTGGGAGGAGCAGGAGGTTCAGAATGTGAAGCTGGATGGGTACGTGGCCAGCATTCCTTTACCCTCACCTCACTCCAGACCCAGTTCACGTGCACGTCTGCGTCCTCCGGACTCCTTTTTCCTTGCGTGTAGGAATGTGGATGTACTTGCTCTTGGATTCCTGGGTCCTTGGGTCACATATGGAGGCCTAACATATGTTATATTTAAAAAGTGTAGCTCTCTTCCACAGGCTTAACGGAGCATGGCGCGTGGGGTGCCAGTGACCCACGCCTGTAACCCCAGCTGTTCAGCAGCTGAGGTGGAGCCAAGGTGGAAAAGTCCGTGAGACTCTCTCCAATAAAACTGCTCAGGAAAAGCCAGAAGTGGCTCTGTGGCTCAAGTGGTAGAGCAGTATAGCCGTGAGCAAAAGAAGTTCAGGGCATAGCGCCCAGGCCCTGAGTTCAAGCCTCATTATGGCAACAAATGAGCAAAAACACTCTAGTAGGCTGGAAACGTGGTGATAGTGGTAGTGCAGCAGCCTAGTGAGCAAGCTAAGCAAGTAAGCAAACACAGGTCAAAGTGCCTGGGCCGAATTTGGATACATGGCTATGAGTTGGTTACTGCTAATTTAAATGAGTAAAAATTGATAGCTAGAGAAATACTTCAAAAATTTGGTGTGTTACTCTTCTGACTGTGTGTGTGTGTGTCTGTGTGTGTCTGTGTGTGTGAGTGAGGGGGGGCTGTGGGCGTGTCTAGATGACTCTTTTGAATGACTAGAAGCTTGAAGACTGTGTTGGAGGTAAAGACCTGAATGCCTCCTAGGTGCTATCTGAAAACAACTGTGTAAAGCAGCGTCAGAATGCTTAGTTTCCGTCTGTCCTTCTGTCCATCTGTCGGTCTCTCTGTAATGCAATTTCCTCTGCACCTCAGTCAAACAGATATACCCAGTGAGGTACAGTGCTTGTACCTCACATAAGTGGATTTGTTTCACAGAAAGGAAGAAAGACCTACCAGTGTTTAGTTTTTTAAAACCAGAATCAAGGGGAACATTTCTCATACCTTCTCACGCCACGCCTTCCCGTCCCGATGGGGTTAGACTTGAGAAGAGACTGGCTATAAATAGCCCTGACCCTGCTCGCACTTGATCCTTAGATTAAGATTAGCCTCCCTGAAGCGAAGAGGGCACACCAGGACGCTCCTGTGGAAAGCAGTCAACCTCAGCCAGACACTCAGCCGTCTCATGCAAAGAATATTTCAGATGACCTATTTCCAGGGAAAAATAAATCCCAACCTTCTCATTGTAAGAGGAGCAGCCCTAGTGATTTTTATAAATGGAGGCTCGGGAAGGATGAAAGCAGAGAGGGGCAGCACAGGATTAAGGAAGATCACTTAGCTGCCATGTTCTGGGTTCCCAGCGCCTCCCAGGATGCATTGGAGATGAGCAGAACTGGACAGGTGTTGAGCCGTCCAGCACCGCTTAGCCTCTTTGGGTACAGTGTGTGCCTGGCATCACACGGAATAAAGATGCCTGACTTGCCCATTTTGCTGAAAGTTTCCTGTGAAGAGAAAATTAGGCCATACATGCCAGTGATAAGTGTGACATTATAATAATATTCAAAATAATTGTGCCTCACACCTGCAATCCTTGCTACTCAGGAGGCTGAGATCTGAGATTGAGGTTCAAAGCCAGCCCAGGCAGAAAAGTCCCTGTGAGATTCTTATCTCTAGTTAACCACCGGAAAACTGGAAGTGGAGCTGTGGTTCAAAGTGGTAGAACGCTAGCCTTGAGCAAAAGAGTTCAGGACAGCTCTCAGGCTCTGAGTTCAAGCCCCATAATAACAACAAAAAGTGTAATAAATACAGAGCAGTAGTTTCTGACCAGGTACTATTCTAAGCATTTCGTTGTTTGCTAGGGTCAACCTTTCTTATAAAGTAGAACCTGTGGCTATGTCTGTCTTTTAGGTGAGGAAACAGCCACAGATTGCTTAAGGTTGGTGCCAGGGCTTGAAGCCTTGTGATCTAGCTCTTCTTGAATCCTTTGGTCTGGGGATGTTGAGAGAGGCTATAGACTTATTTTTGTGGTACTGGAGTTTGAACTGAGAGCTTCATCCATTCTAGGGAGTCTTGTAACTGAAACAGAAGATCAGGATTTGAATCTTGGCCTCCTGGGCTGTGTAATGTACAAAGCCTCTTAAGAGAGTAAATAATTTGTTCATCCCTAAGTGGAGAGGGATGATAATACTTAGCTCTTAGATGTTAGGTAAGGTTAAATAAGACAACATGGGAAGCGACAGTGTGTGGAGGTATGTACCTGTCATTCCAGGCTCCTGGGGGTGCGTGGGGGGTGGAGGTAGAAGGATGATAGAAGGTTTGTGTGGCACATTTCAGTTGGTAGCGGATGACCTGCAGGTGGGAAAGGATGAGAAGGACAGACAGCTGGGACAGGGGTTTGGAGAATTTGAATGTTCCACGTACATTTCAGCGAGTGGATATACAATGTATTGGGGCCCATGTGCCATTCGCCTTTCGTTTGGTATTTGTTCTTTTAGGGGAGCCTGAATTCAAGTACATTGGGAATATGCATGGTAATGAGGCGGTTGGACGGGAGCTGCTCATTTTCTTGGCCCAGTACCTGTGCAACGAATACCAGAAGGGGAATGAGACCATTGTCAACCTGATCCACAACACGCGAATTCACATCATGCCGTCCCTGAACCCCGATGGTTTTGAGAAGGCGGCCTCCCAGGTGAGTATGGGCAGGCTGAACTGGACACGCTTCTTCATTGTTTTGGATGATAGTACTTACGTTTATCTTACAGACATCCATCGAACGCAATGCCTTCACACAAAGCTTTTAAGAGAGAGATAATGCTCATTATTCAATATTGACTGTAAGGGATGAACAGTTCTTCAGTGGAGGTTTATTAGTTAATACTTTTAATAATGCTTGGTTTGTAGTGTTAAATAAATGTCACTTATTGATCCACATTTGTCACTAGGCAAATTTCCTTAAAAAATCATAATCTTCAAGTACAGAAAATACTGCCATGCCCTGATACCCTGTTGTATCTGGATTATTTGGAGCTATAGCGCCCTCTACTGAATAAAAGGAATGACTCATGGCCAGACTATTTTTTAATGATTGGTTTTATAAATTAAAAAAAAAAAGAAAAGAAACAACTAATCTCTGAACTAAAAATAATCTTGTATATTCTATCTATTAGGCTGGAATTTGAGGAGCTTTTGCTATTATTTGCAAACTGAAATAATTTTCAGACTGAAATAGTAATTTTTTATTCACAGGACCAAAGCCCTATAAGTTTGACATTGTAAGGAACTAAGATAGAGAACTTTTTAAAATAAATAATAGGATTTCAAAAAACCATGAGAGAAAAATTCTAGTAAGATATAAAATTGAATTATTCAATATTTTAAGGTTTACAAGGGTAAATGGGAGAAAAATTTATCGTTTCAATTTTCTGTCATATTAACTCATAATAGTCTGAGGTATATAAGCTCACATGATTTAGAAAATATGGTAATTTAATTTACCTCAGAGATTTGGTATAATTTAATAGCAAAATAAGACAACTTATGAAGTAAAACTGAATAGCATGGAAATTCACTGATTTTTTTTTAGACTGTTCTATTAAGGAAGAATTTAAGATTATTTATTTCTGGTGGTACTGGGGTTTGAACTCTGTGTCTTGTGTTTGCCAGGCAGGTACTTTATCCATTAAGGCATACCTTCAGTCCAAATGAAAGGTTTAAATTAAAGAATACAAAGTCTTTTGGTCTACAGGATATATATATATATATATATATAGATATAGATATAGATAGATAGATAGATAGATATATAAAACTTCATTATTTAATTTTATTTTTTGTCAGTGGAGGGGCTTGAACTCTGGGCATGAGTTGTCCCTGTGCACTTCAGCCCAAGGCTAGTGTTCTACCACTTGAGACACAGTGCCACTTCTGGTTTTCTGGTGGTTAATTGTAGATAAGAGTCTTCATGGACTTTCCTGCCCAGGCTGGCTTTGAACCTCGATCCTCAGATCTCAGCCTCCTGAGTAGCTAGGATTATAGGTGTGATCCACCGGCACTCCGCTATATTATATATGTATATATATATATATATATATATATATATTACTGATACATAAAGTCATAAGAATTACACATCTTTATGGGATACAATGGTTTCTTCCTTCTTTCCCCTTATATTCTCCAGTCTGGGGATTGAACCCAGGGCCTCACACATGGGAGGCAAGCGCGCTGCCTTGAGCCATATCCCCAGCAACACACATAACATTGAATCAGTAAATTTATCCATTGTCTTAATGAGTTATCATTTTCCTTTGGTGAAAACATTCAGAATTCCTTTTTCTAGAGTTTAAAAATGTAATCTTCATATTTTCCAATGAAGATTATGAGATACACTTAATGCATAAAAATGCCAAGTTCATTTTAAGTTTCAAATCTCTTTGTTTTCTTTTGAAGTTGTGGAACTGGGGTTTGAACTGAGGGCTTCAGCCTTCCTAGGGAATCTTTCAACTAAAACAGAAGATCAGGATTTGAATCCTGGCCCGATGGGCTGTGTAGCACACAAAGCCTCTTAACAGTCTGGACAGTTTATTCATCTATAAATGGAAAGGGATAATAATATTTACTTTTAGATGTTAAGTAAGGATTAACTAATCTAGAGACAGTGAATATTTTAGTTAAATAACCTATTCCTAAATGAATATATATTGACTTTTTTGCAATCTGAGAGATATTTTAAATGGGAATGCATAAAATACTGTTCATTGAAAGTATTTTCAAGATACAAATGCTTTAAACCTGCTGTCTTCATGTTTTTAATCAGTAAAATAGTGAAATATCATTATGGGAATGAACTGTTAAATTATTTTTCAAAGCATTAATGGTGACCTTATATAGAGATAGTCACAATCATAACAAATAACTGATTTGTTTTTTAGCCTGGTGAGCTCAAGGACTGGTTTGTGGGTCGAAGCAATGTCCAGGGCATAGATCTGAACCGGAACTTTCCAGATCTGGATAGAATTGTTTATGTTAATGAGAAAGAAGGAGGACCCAATAATCATCTGTTGAAAAATCTGAAGAAGATTGTGGACCAAAACACAAAGGTAGAGGAACGTGTGCAGTTGGGTTGGAGCGTCGTCTAAGGGAGTGCATCCTGGTAGCTTGCACCACAAAGAAGCAGGTGTAACAGCCCATAAGGCAGTGACAATTACCTGGGCGGATTCCAGCTCAGGCTGGAGGAGCTGGGCTTGGAGAGCAGCCTTTGCTCCTTAGGACCCGGCAGGGCTGGGGAGTTGGAGTTAGGGATGGGCACAGGAAGGGAGTATCCGGCTGTGGGCTGGAGAAAGTCACCAGGTTCCTCTCAGCATCCTTTATCAGCTCATGTGATCAGAGTTTCCTGCAGCATTACACTGCGCTGGAATTTGTCATCTTTTTTCCAGAACTTTCTCTGCCTTCACTTTCTTCACAAAACTCCACAATCTTCCACTTCTCTTCTGCCGCTCAGTTTCTTTCCCTTCATGTTCTGTCCTGTCCTTTGTCCTTTATCTTATTTCCTGGTTTCTATCTCTCCTGAACTTTGAATAGCAGACATAACACAAGTTTTCTCAGCCATGATCTCCTCATTCTAGACCTTCTAGGAGTTTGATTTTCGTGTTTTACTTTTACACAGGTCCCCTTCTTTGTGGGGCCTGGGACTGGAAACTCCACCTGTCCACTCTTGTTTCATTTGTCTAGTCATTAAAGGCTTTGAGTTGTCCTTTTCTGTCACCCACCTAACCACTCACCCCAGGAGTCAGTTTCTACATCTGAGGGATTTGGCCCCTGTGATACCTCCCATCTTCTGTAAACTCTGTAAACTCATCCTATGCCTTTCTTGGAGACACTAAGTCTCCTTCTCTGACTGGTGCAGTGTCCTATCGGTCTCCTTCACATACAAGTCTTTGCTGTTTTGCTGAAAGTTCTTACTGGTTCTCTAGTACTCAGAGGATAAAGTGACCATTCAGTTTGGCAGCGTGGTGTGATGGCTAAGCATAGCGATGCTAGATATGGCCACCTTAGATCAAATCTTGTTCCATTGGGAGGTTACTTCACATCCGTGTGCTCAGCTTCTTCACCTGGATATGGAGATCAATGGCAGCTTTGCAGGGAACTTACAAGAATGCAGGGAGATAAAACATACAAAGGCCCTGGAGGTTAGGACCCAAAACTATTACTGCTGTTTCAGCACATCTCAGTACTCTGTGTTAGGTACTTCAGGGTGAGACGGACACCAAACATCTGGTGTGCCTTCAGCCTATGACTGCTTTCAGTTACTTGAGAGGCCAGGGAGCCCCTGGAGGAGGCCAGGGGCGGGGGACGCCCCAGCGTTCAGCTCCTTCTCTGTCGGTCTGCGCAGCTCTGCCCTGCCAGGTCGACTATGTCAGGTATTGATGGCATCTAGGGGCCTTGGGTTCCTTTTCTCCACCAAATACAGAGTTCGGGGTGGGGAAATGGGAGCAGAGACGAAGTTTGATTGAAAGTGAGAATAAAGCACCAGGAAAGGAGTCGATGGAGGTTGGTTTAACCCCCAACTGGGACTCTCAGCTGGTAGGGCTTCCTTGTGCTATATGAAGTCCTGTCCAGGGGGAGCAGCCCCACGCAGGGTCTTCAGGAAGAGAAAAAGGGTGTTGTCTCCACTGGGCATGGCCTCTCCCTTTCGTCCTGGTCTTTCCCTTTCTGTCTGTCCTCAGTACCTTTCTTAAGTGAGAGCCCAGAATGTACTGTTCCTCCATGTTATTATAGTTCTGAGTTATTTGAATGTTGCTCTGTTCATGGGAGCTGAGGGCTCCTTCAGTCCTTAAGTTGGCTATGGTTACTCATACATTTATTTATTTATTTATTCATTCATTTATTGGTCCCTCATGGGGTTTGAACTCTGGGCTTGGGCGCTGTCCCTGCACTCTTCAGCTCAAGGCGAGTGCTCTACCGCTTGAGCCACAGCGCCACCTCCAGTTTTCTGGTGGTTAATTGGCGAAAAGAGTCTCCTGGAGTTTACTGCCTGGGCTGGTTTTGAACTGTGATCCTCAGATCTCAGCCTCCTGAGTAGCTAGCATTACAGGTGTGAGTCACCGGCACCCGTCTGTCTCATACATTCTTATCATTCCTTTTTGCTTCAGAGGTACCATTTTCTAATCATTTTTGTCTTCCTAGGACTTGATGTTCAAATGGTCAGAATGGTCTTTCCTTTCTTTCCATGTTGCTTTCTCTGTGTAGTCTCTTTCCCCATATATATATTATATATAATATATATATTATATATATTTTGGCTTGAAATCAGCCAAACTCTAGAGATGCTATAGATTTTTGGTCCCCAGAAACAGTATAGAACATGTCTCCAGTGAAAGCTTTGCTTCTCAGCAGAGGTATATAGACTTTGAGAGTCTTCCTAGTGGCTGTTAAAATCCCCTCTCAGAAAACTATCAAGGTCTTGGCTTGAGAGGAATTCTTTGGTAGGCATTTCTTCCCTCTCTTGTTTTGTTTCCAAGATACAGAGGACCACAACTCATTCCAGAGACTTCCCATGAATTCTTGAAACTGTTGGTCTTTGTTTTAACATTGAAGGTGACCATTCCAAGATTATTTTTCATTAGGTACTCTGAAAGAGACCCGGCTGAATTTCTTTTATAAGGACAGTGGCTGAAACTTCTGAAAGACAATGGAAAAATTGGAAATAAAAACTTGCCACAGATATGAATCACCAGGGAAGACATTTCTTGTTCTGTGGTCTCTTTCCTCTGTATCTTACCTGTAACTATTATTTGAAAAGATGTTTGAGCTATGACAGCTAAGTTGGTATTTGTAAGTCACCTGCATGGTTATTTTCAAGCTACAAAAGAGAAAAAGTAGCGTCCCACCAAAGGTGAACTTTTAAGGAAACATGATTGAAACTTTTCTTTTATTAAGTTTGAGAAAGATAGACAGACCTACAGACATGGGGAGGCTACTCTTACCAAAACAACCACAAGATGTTTGAATTATGAACAATTTCTACTTTTTTTTTTTAAAAAAAAACACCTTTTCTATATCTTCTCTATCAAAGGATCAAGCAGTGATTATCCAATTGACAATCCTTTCAATCTGCAATCTTTACTACAGCTTGCTCCTGAAACCAAGGCTGTGATTCACTGGATTATGGACATTCCTTTTGTGCTTTCTGCCAATCTCCACGGAGGAGACCTGGTGGCCAATTACCCGTATGATGAGACTCGCAGCGGTGGGTATTTGTTCCTGGTGGCATCGGGGAGGAAGAGCTACTCTGGTTTTCTCTAGCTAGTTGGAGCTACACTTTAGGCAAAGCAGGCTTGAGCGAGAGTATCGGTTTTGGCGGAGGTTTTGTTGCGCTAGGAATTTTCCTCTTTTTCATCTGTTCTCTGACCTTGGAAGAGGAAGCGCTTTGTCAACACAGGATGATCACTGTCATATCAGAAACCTCGGGATTTGAAGAGAGCCTGGTTAAATTACATTGCTAAGTACACTTTGAGATTTTTGTGGTTTATCAATAGCTGGGAAAGTTTTAGGCCGGGAATACTTTATACTGCATGAATAATCACAATAATTAGTTACATGAATATTTTATAATACATAAATATGTATAATTACAATAGTTATATATGAATATTTTTATTGTACATGAATTGTAATACAAATAAAATTTAATAAAATACATAATAATATAATAAATATAAAAATATAATACAAATAAATAATTTACTTTTATAGAGAAAAACTTCTAAAATAGAATGCTAAATAATTGTGAGGGTGGCTCATAGGGTAGGGGCTGTAGGATTGGTACAGGTGCGTTTTAAATTTAAATTAATTTTCTTCTTCTTTTTTTAAATTGGTTCTGGTGCTTGAACTCAGGACTTGGGCACTGTCCCTGAGCATTTTTTTTTTACTCAAGGCTAGTGCTCTACCATTTGTGCTACAGCTCTGCTTCTGGCTTATTTTGGTGGTTAATTGGAGATAAGTCTTACAGATTTTCCTCTCTCAACTGTCTTCAAACCAAAATCCTCAGATCTCAGTTTCCTGTGTAGCTTGTGTTACAAGTGGGAGCTACTAGTGCACAAACTACTTTATTCTTTTTTAGGAGTGGGTACTGGGATTTGAACTCAGGTCCTCACTCTTGCTAGGCAAATGTTGTACCACTTGATCCATGCCTCCAGTCCCTTTGACTTTTTTAGTTATTTATTCAGATTGAGTGCTTTTTTTTGTTTTTTTGGCCTGGACCAGTCTGAGACCATTATTACCCTTCCCATGTTCCTGAGATTTGAAATGTGAACCACCATTCCCAGCTTATTTGCTAAGATGGCACCTCATTAACTTTTTGTTCTTGCTGATCTTGAATCACAATACTCTTATCTCTGCCTCCCAAGTAGCTGGGGCTATAGGTGTGTACTACTTCACCTGGTCCAGGTCCTTTTTTTTTTTTTGGGTCCGGTCATGGGGCCTGAACTCTGGGCCTGCACGCTGTCCCTCAGCTCTTCAGCTCAAGGCTAGTGCTCTACCACTTGAGTCATAGCTCCACTTCCAGCTTTTTTTTTCTTCTGCTTATGTGGTGCTGAGGAATCGAACCCAGGGTCTCATGCATTCAAGGCAAGCGCTCTCCCACTGAGCCACCTTCCCGGCCCATCCATTTTTTTTTTAATTAGAAATTTCATCATGGAATTCCTCTTGACCTAGTGGATTATTATGTCATAATCTTTTCATGTGAATTTTGTCCAATTTTCATTTTTTTGTATTATCAACAATAGATGTTATATAATCTAAACAAGAAGTGAAATGGTTTTTATTTTATTTTTTATTGTTATTGTAATGGTGATGTACAGAGGGGTTGCAGTTACATAAGTCGGTGTCGCCTCTTCCCTCATTTTCTCCCAGTTTTTTTTTTCCCTCCTGATCCCCTCCCCTGCGAGTTGTCTAGTTCATTTTCAACATAGTGTCTAGTGAGTATCTAGTCTAGTGTTCCACCATTTCTGTGTTCCCCTTGCCCTCCCCCAAACAGATAAACTTACAAACAAGACAAAAGGAACAGAAATAAAAAACTGCAACAAAGGAGAAAAAAATGAAACACAAAAGCAAACTAACAAAAAACCACTTGTTTCCATTTCTTAGAGTTCATTTTAACAAACATCATATTTTATGATCCTACGCCCATAGCTATTGAGCCTTTGTGATCATCTCCTAAAAATACCCTCCCTTGGTCTCACTGTGCGAATGTCTAGAGTCCTGCACCATTCATCATGTCCAAGTGTAAATTTTTTTGTCTTTTACCATCCAGTGTGTTTACTTGCAGATTTATAGGCGCATTCAAGTTACCACAAATTAGGGAACCCATAGTGCAGTTGTTTTGTACTTAAACTTCAGCCCTTTTGCCTAGTAAGAAAGCCAAAACCAACCTCAGCAATGCTCAGCACCCAGTCCCTCTTCAGAACACTCACTGTACTCTTTGGTCTCTGGTCTTCAGTCTCTGGTCTTGTCTTTTAGGCAGTGCTCATGAATACAGCTCCTGTCCTGACGATGCCATCTTCCAAAGCTTGGCTCGTGCATACTCTTCCTTCAACCCCGCCATGTCTGACCCCAATCGGCAGCCCTGTCGCAAGAATGACGATGACAGTAGCTTTATCGACGGGACAACCAATGGTGGTGCTTGGTACAGCGTACCTGGTGGTGAGTTTCCATCCTGGTGGTTTCCTTAGCATTATCATTGGATTTTCACCTAGAGAATATTAATCTATCATGAAGAAGTAGACCAAATCTTCAGTTCTTCCATGTAAGCTCCTTTTCATTTGTCATTACCATTATGTGAAAAGCATAGTTTGTTAGCATAAGTTAGTGAGGAAATTCAATAGGATATTTCCATATATGTGTATATCATGTACTCTGATAAAACTCACTGTCTCTTACTCGTTTTTAACTCTCTTAAAGTTAATTTTCTTCATGTGTAAATACAACATGTAATTTCACTTTTACTGATTTAAAAAATAATTGAGAAGTGCTGGGTGCTGGTGGCTCACGCCTGTCATCCTAGCTACTCAGGAGGCTGAGATCTGAGACTCACAATTCAAAGCCAGCCTGGGCAGGTAAGTCCATGAGACTCCTATCTTTTTATTAACTGCCCCCAAAAGCCAAAGTAGAGCTGTTGTTCAAGGAGTAGAGCACTAGTGTTGAGCAAAACAGTTCAAGGACAGAGCCCAGGCCTGAGTTCAAGCCCAGGGACTGGCACACACACAGGGACACACACACACACACACACACTGACACACAATTGAGATGTTAATTCAAGACATATAGGAAACTGTAGAAGTTTCTTGGGAAAATAAATTGAGTATCTCCGTGTCAAGCTCAGGCAACGGGCAATCAGGTAGCACCTTGATTAAAGTTAGTGCTACTTTTATCATAGACAAATGAATGTTTTAGCAGACAGTATATGTTATACATGTATGTTGGCACATACCTTTTTATTATGTTTTTAAATGGTGGAAGAGGGGACTCTTTAATGTGAACAACAGTAATACGTACTAATCAGGTGGGTTGTTGTGTTGCTGGTGATTTGGGCACTAGTTTGGACAGGCCAAACAAAATGTCAGGCACGGTACAAATGGTGGCCAGCAGTAGCAGCAACAGCCCCGCCCCGCCACGCCCCGCCCAGCC